TAAGTACGCCGGTACATAACGTAAGTGCTATAAGTATGCCGGTACATAACGTAAGTGCTATAAGTATGCCGGTACATAACGTAAGTGCTATAAGTATGCCGGTACATAACGTAAGTGCTATAAGTACGCCGGTACATAACGTAAGTGCTATAAGTACACAGGTAAACAACAACGGCGCGGGATCGCGGACCTACCCTCGCGCGCGGCTGTGCCGTGGGCGGCGGGGAGTGGCAGCGGGTGCGTGGGCGGATACACCGCGAGGCGCCTCCCCGTGAAGTATGCGGCCATGAAGCGTGCCAGCGACCTTGCCAGCACCCTCACAGCTCGACAGCGCATGCCTCTCACAGCGGCGTTGTTGTTTGCATCCGGCGGTGCCCTGCGAGGAAAAGAGATCAAGGCAATGTATAGAGACATCATACGTATAGAGATATCATAGATATCATACGTATAGAGACATCATATCAAGGCAACGTGCGTCGGACGACGAATAAAGTGTAAATGCGATCGTGCTCACGACGTGTGGTCGTGGACGAGCGTACGAGAACAAGCAACAACAACAAAATACAAATGTATAAAATAAAACAAATTCAAAAAATAAACGAATGTTGCCACAAATGAAATACAAATGCGATAGTACATAAAACGACGACCTCGCGAAAAACCTTACTAAAATACAAATACACGAAACACAAATATACAAATACCACAAATTAAACACACATCCGATCCTACTCCCACGCCATCGACGACCACGACCGAATAGTTAAAATGGTTTTAATGGTTAATGGCACGTAAAATCTGAGCGAGCAAGCATCAGCGCACCTCGTGAGGGTGACGGCAGCCTGTCCGCTCGTGTCGGACTCCACCACGAGCAGCTCCTGCGACGGGCAAGTGCCTGAGTGTGGGTCGTCGATCAGAAGGGCGTTGACAAAGTCGAGTGCTGGTCGCAGCTGCATGTGTAGTATGTGGGCGTAGAGAACGGCGTGTGCGAGCCTGCTCATGCGACAAAGCTCCCTGCGTGTGAGACGCCGGCCTGTAACATTGCAATAGCACTGACGTGTAACATGGTAACAGTACTGACGTGTAACATGGTAACAGTACTGACGTGTAACATTGCAATAGCATTGACGTGTAACATGGTAACAGTACTGACGTGTAACATGGTAACAGCACTGACGTGTAACATGGTAACAGTACTGACGTGTAAATGGACAACTCTGGTTGTAGCATGGTAACAGTACTGGCCGTGTAACATTGCAATAGCTTTGACGTTAACAGGCAATAGCATTGATGTAACATGGTACAGCACTGACGTGATAAAATGTAAAGTCCTGAGATGTGTAACATGGTACAGCACTGACGTGGTACATGGTAAAGTACTGAACGTGTAACATTGCAAATGCATATTGACGTGTAACATGTAACAGTCATGGATGTGTAACATGCAGATGGCACTTGACGTGTAACGGATTGCAAGTAGTAGTGCCTGTAAAATGTATAGCACTGACGTGTAACATTGCAATATATTGACGGTGTAACTGGTTAACAGTCACTCGATGTGTATACATGGTAACAGTATGATGTGTAACATGGTAATAGTATGACCTGTAACAATGGTAAATAGCACTGCGTGTATACATTGCAATAGGTATTGACGTGTAACATGGTAAGCAGCACTGACATGTAATTGCAATAGTAGTGACCTGCTAACGATGGTAATTAGCACTGACGTGTAACATGAATAGTAATTGACGTGTAACATGGTAACAGCCACTGATGGTAACATGGTAACCAGTAGTGATGTTGTACAGTGCAATAGAATGAAATGTAACCTGGCAATAGACTGACGTATGTAACGTATCAATATACTGATGATTAACATGTAAAATACGTGAGACGTGTAATGTGGTAACAGTACCAAAGTGTAACGTGGCAATAGTACCGATGTGTAACGTGGCAATAGTACTGATCTGTAACGTGGCAATAGTATTAAACTGTAGCATGGCCCTGACCTGCATCTGTTTGAATTATTACAAAAAATGTAGCTTCAGTTGAACTACTACATATGCAGTATTCACTCTCACCTTGTGTTGCGATAGAGAAATACATGTGTTTCCACCTGGCAATAGCCTCACCTACATGACCGCCCATGTACAGCAAAATTCCTGAAAAAAATCAACAAAGGTAAAAATAATATTGTGTTTTCAAGATGGAGTACAGCATAATCTAGAAACACGTGACCAATTGCACAGACCAATCACATCCAATCATAGATGACACGAGCAAGATGTCTCCTTTCCTCGATATCTCACCTTTATCTAGCTTCGGTTTTTCCACCGACGGAAACTCGCACCCAAGCTCTTGTAAATGCTGCTGTGCCGAGCAAAGCACTCGTTTGCAAGTATTGCTGGCGTAGCGACTAACTCTGAGACGCGAGAGAGCCACGAAGTGGTGAGCAGTGTGGCAGTAGAGCATTTTCCAACACATGGCCAGCCTGTTAGAAAACCAACAGCATCAATATGGGGCCACCACATACAGCAGAGGTCGCATGGCTCAGTGGACATTGTCAGTACTCCCACGTAGTATTGCTCAAATGTAACGATTTACGCCGATTACAATCATTAACACATATTACCATTACAACTAAATAATGGTTGCCAGAGACGACCGGCAGTGCCTTACAAGATGTCGTGCGCAAAAGATCGCGTTTTGTTCCCGACCGCCGAGAGCCGGTTATAGTGAGCCGCGGCACTTCCGCGGGATGGCGCACGCGACCGGTTGCGTGGATGTTGTATAGTTGAGCGATCTCGCGCTGCGCCTATAGCGTAGAATGTTGCGGAAGCTCAAATCGCGCAGTTTCGTGAGACGTACACAACGGCTTGGACTTTATATGGGCTCGCCGACCTTGGCGATGAGAGGTGCGGGCATTTCCTGCTGCTGCTGCTTTGCTGCTCCCGCGAGTGATTGATAGGTAGATGCAGACATTGAGCATTGCGATGGTGGCATTGTAACAAATGGCAGTGCATACGTGCATGAGTGCCGCTATATGTGGATTAGCTAACAAGATCAGTGCCAGTTCTGCTAACTTGTCTAATGCTTAACTGCACTTAACTGACACCAATGATTCGAGGTGGATGTGCGTCGTGCTCCACTCACTGTATAGCCCTCTTGCAATGGACGCATAGATAGAGCATGACCAGCTTAGGATGGCATGGTGCATTTACAACAAATGATCGCACGCGTCGAGCTTATGACCGAGGCTACCTCCGCTGAGCGGCGGTGACTAGACATCATATCACCATATTGCTCTGCCGTTGTGCCCACCATAGTGCCATAGTAACGTGATTTTTGCGCGCATGTAATGCCAGTAATGCCATATCATAATGCATTAGTGCATAGTGCCCTATACGGCATTACACTGTAGTGTGCATAGTGCAGGGCAGAGTGTATCTCTATAGTGCCTATACGCATCGGTCGGGAGCGGTCAGCTGAGTTGTTGGGTGGGGAGAACGTTATCTTCGTCTTGCGACAATTGACGGCCGGCCCATAATGCATAATGCCATAGGCATAGTGCATACACTGTAATGCCATCAGTGTATAGCGATAGGGGCAAACGACACAGTGCATATGAAGTCGGCCCATAGGCTAGTGCATCGGGTTGTCAGTAGTGACG